AGTAAGCTTGAGATCGACCCCGTGTTCGGTAAGTGGCGCTAACCACCACTGATGTGTTCGGATGAGTTCTGATGCTAATAAAATAATAACAAATGCACTACCGTTAAGCTTTTGGAAATGAAAGTTATGAGTGGTGGTGGCCAGTGGGCGGGGCGGACGCTTCGTCGCCTCACGTGCTTTGGAGCTGCGATAAGATGCATCCTTCATGTCTGCGGAAACGACTGCCATGTCTAATGAAGGCAAGTGATCATCAATGAGCGCAGATCGTACCTCTAATGAATCACTGAATCAGAAAAACCCCTAGAAAATCGCTGTACATCTCAGTATAACTCTCGAACCGTGAACGTAGGAGTGTGGCGATGATGGCAACAGAGCTCCTCGCAGTTCATTTGTAAAGTAGCTACTAGGTTTCCTTGACTCGAAACTATTGGATTATTCTGTGCTGGGTGTGCTGAGCTCGAAAGCATTTTATCTAGCTCAAGCTGAAGAACTGAGCTGACTTCTATCTTGTTACTGTAATTTTTAACCCCACCCGCAGTATACTCAAAGTTTCAGTGGGTCTTCGGCAACGGAACGATGAAATCGATGCCACGACGGATGGTCCCGTTCTATCTTGCACAGTCTTCTTCGACACGAAGAAAACCAGCTCCATCAAAGTGATCCTCCTTGAGTTGCTCATCTTTCCTATGAATAGCCATTATACCGGTAAATATTGAACGCAGGCAGTTTGAAAAACTCAGTTCTAAGAAATTTGAATATTACTTGATGATGCATTTTGAATTTGTTTGTAAATATTCTCCTTTTCTGGGAAGAACGTAATTTACAATTTCTTGAATCTCTCGTGCCTGTGAGGCAGTCTATAAGTCTTTGATGTCGTACGTTGCATTACGTTATAGCGCCTTGGCGTTCATAGGTGTGAGGCTGGATTGTCGTGGGGGTACGTCTAACCGACTTTATTGGCGCGGTGCTGGAGAAAAGGTGGTCCTTTCTGGTATTTGGAATGCTTATTTGTAGAACGTAATTGCAATTTATTTCACTGCCAAATTGGGTGTTGTTACTCCGCCGGTAATCCTTAACTTGGTTTCCTGTGAAGTGACCAAGTTGTCACATAATTCTTCCGTGTCCGACGATCCGAAGTGACGGGTCAGTGTCAGAAGGCGCGGAATAAGCCCGCCCGGTTCAGTGAGACCACGCTGTCTTGTACGGCAACTCTACGCTGGCAGTAGTCCCATACTTTCCCTATTCTGCAGTTAGAGAATATGTGGCTGCGCGCTCCATTTGAACACGGCGGAGGTTTCGTTTTTCGCGTGATTTCCCATTTGGGCGACTGTCACCCAGCCATGTGTAGGGCAAAGACTCTTCTTCTTCTCCCTAGCGTTAGTCCCGCGCCGTCGCAGGGTCCGCTGTTCTTGTTAGACGTCGCCACTTGTTCCGATCCACTGCATCTTCTGCCGTGGCTTTCACTTCAGTGAGGTCCTTCTTGATGACGTCCCTCCATCTTTTCTTTGGGGCTCCTCGTGGTCGCTTGCCCTCTGCTTCGAATTCCAATGCCTTCCTTATTGGGTGGTCCTCAGGCCTTCTCAGCACGTGCCCATACCATCGCAGTCGCTGCTCTCGTGCCTTCAGCTGGATCGGAGCCGTCTGTGTGACCGCCCTGACGTCCTCGTTTCTGACTCTCTCGAGTCGTGTCCAGCCGCAGGCCCATCTCAGCATCCTCATTTCAGCTGAGTGGAGCTGCCTTTCATGGTTCTTGCAGATGGGCCAGCACTCACTGCCGTAGAGCATTGTAGGCCTTACCACCGCCCGGTACACCTTGCCCTTGAGCGCACAGGATGCCAGTGGACTCCCTCCATTTCATCCAGGCTGCGTTGATTCGGGCCTTCACCGCCTGGTCCACGCTGCCATCAGCTGCTAGGTCGCTCCCCAGGTACTGGAAGTCCTCGACCCTTTCGATGCTCTCGCCATGGCAGTCTACGATGGGTTCGTTACACTCTTCGGAGCTCAGGAACTTGCTTCTTCACG